TTTCCTAAAGAACATAAGACAGTACTCACAGTTACACTAACATAAAAACATATACTATTTTGACCACAGAACTGATGCTCAGACTTCAATTAATAACGATTACAGCCATTAAATAAGTTCAAGCATTAAAAAAGATGCAGGTTTGACTCCCCCAACAACTAATAAAGAACTAAACCTTGACAGTGGAGTAGAGCAGACCAGGGTGGTTACAGAGCTTCTTCAGGGCAGTGATGCAGGCCAGGTGTGTGTGAGTTTGTGTGGAGGCCTGAAGACAGGCTCTGAACACTCTGTGGCCGAGGAGACGCGTGTATAGCTCTCGCTGCAGAGGGGTCGGGTCGCAGAACAACGTCCAGTCGAGACGAGGAGGCAGGTAGCGGTTGATAATCTCCTGCGTTCGTCTCAGGATGAACATGCCAGTCAGGCGAGAGAGCTCTGCTGCTCGCTCTTCTCCCAGAACTCTCTCCTCCTGTTGACAGACACCAGATCCGGTTTAATGCCAGACAAAGTTGTTGATGTATGTCAAGTGACTACATAGTAGAAATAAAGAGGGAAAGAAGAAGCATTACCTCTGTGCAGGAGGGCTGCCTGGAGCGTAGAATCGGCTCTTCATACACTTTCCTATATGCAGTGGAAGACCCGAGGATCCCCGGGTTAACAAACTCTATAATAGCGTAGAACTCCTGCAGGTCGTTCTGTACCGGGGTGCCTTCAAAAGACAAACACATCTATTATAAAACATTCACAATAAGTTGTAGTTGTCAGTCAGAGACTTCATTCCAGTGTGTACCTGTTAGTATGACTCTGCGATTACAGCTCAGGCTGCTGAGGGCTGAGGATGTTTTGATGTTGCTGTTCTTTAATCTGTGGCCCTCATCACAGATTACAAGACCAAACTCCATTTTCTGTACCTGAAAACAGCAGAAATGAACACAACATGATATGATGATATAAGCTGTTTATAACATGGACGCGTGACAGCAAGACACGAGGTGAACATACCTGCTCCAGGCAGCGCAGCAGCATTTCATAGCTGATCACAAGAACGCTGTGCAGCGGGGACAACACAAACTGCTCTATCCTGTGGTCCTATACATATGTCAATAAAGAATGTATGTTAATGACTTACAACATTATTATTAGACATTCTAGATGAAGGTACATTAGTAATCTGACAAAAAGATATTAGACGAGGAAAAGGCATGAGCCAACATGGAATAAGATATAAATAGAATCAAATGCAAAATGGAAGAAAAAACGCAACAAAAGCACAACGGGACAAAATACTCGAGAAAAAAAAAAAAAAAGGTTTAAAATAACACGTTTACAAAAGGGTTTTAACTTAAGATGAAGAGGAGCTAGCTTTAGAGCATTTTTCTTACTCCATAGCGAGCTAATAATATAGTTTCAGGTACACAACAACACTTTTATGTCTGTGTCTCTGGTCCATGTCTGTGGGGTACATGTGGGTTCCTTACTGTATTCAGGAGGAAGGGTTTTTTATTATTTTGTATTTATTTATATTATTTGTTAGTATTATTATTATTATTATTATTAAATGTATTTGTTTCATGTCACATGTTGCTGAATTCTCTGAAATGTAAAGCACAATGAGCTTACTTGTAATGAAATGTGTCATATAAATGCCTTGCAACATGATAAATTGAACCTCATCAAATAAAAGTCTTTCAACTTTCAACTTTGCTGCCATCGTGTTGCTCGAGCCCCTTGTAAACCCAGAAGAAAGAATTTCCTCTTCTCTCCTCACCTGATCCACAGTGAAAACACTGATCCTCTCACGGCCCAGCCATTTGTTAAACTCAGCGCCCCAGTTCTGCACGAGGCTACCAGGAGTGACCACAAGGACACGTTTAGCAACTGGTTTCCCACCGTACGGTCCTTGTTTAAGCAACGTCCAGGACAACGCCACGCTCTGGAGGGTCTTCCCCAGACCCATCTCATCAGCCAGGATGGCTCCATAGCAACCCACAGCTCTGAAGAACACACAATAAAACTAGTGATATAATGATACACTCAACTCATGCTTAGATACTTCCTTTTCTTTTTAAAACTTAAAGCTGAAAATATAACCCTGTCAACTACAGAAAATGGCCTCATATCTCTTGCCTCATAAATTAATTTTTCCATTCCATTGATTTGAATCTCCATATATTTGTATGGCGATTAAACTGTCTCATAATGTTTTGTGACATTCCTAAAATAAATCACTTTAATATGATCCATTTAGAATCCTAATAACAGCTTAAAAGGTCCAGTGTGTAGGATTTAGTGGCATCTAGCAGGGAATTTGCAGATTGCAACCTAGTAAATATCCCTTCCAAGTGTGTAGGAGAAACTACGTTGGACACAAAACTTGTGAAAAATACGACCGGCGCTATGTAGAGCCAGTGTTTTGGTAGAAGTGTATAAACTTGGCGGACTCTGTGGTAGATAACCAGATCCCCTCTGCAGATAGAAAGAGCTCATTCTAAAGTAACAAAAACACAAGGCTTTTATTTTCAGGTGATTATACACTAATGAAAAAATATGTTCTAGGATCTAAGATATGTCCTAGATATGTTCTAGGTTCGGCTCCATTACCTCATGCCCATGACACACTCATAGAGAAAAAGCAGGCCGTCTCTCTGGTGGGGTCGCAGGTGAGTGGTCAGGTATGGGTCAACAACAACATCAACCAAAGGAAGCCCCGACTTGTTATTAGACCACTGGTGGTTAGGAGAGGGACGAGGCATTACCAGTGCACCTGCAAAAGATCCAGAGGCCCGGACTATGTTTATACAAAGTGTTTGTGTTATGAAGAAAAGTGAAAGGTCAAGTCTTGTAACAAACCAAAATAAGCCATAAAATGTCAGAAATTATTACATATTTTTGAGTAAGAATTAGTATTATTAATCCTAACAAACACATCAAACTCAACTAGTATATATATAGTATATAAATATATATTTCCTTAAATTGTGGACTTTTAAGTAAAAGCTATACATACACAAGCAAAAGGTTATACATATAAATAACATTTCTGATTTAACCTACATACCTGGAGCCAGTGGGTCATGGCGAGGTCGGCAGGTCTGTTCCTCCTCTGGTTTAGACCCTGAGAGATCCGCTCTCCCCAGCAGCGTTGGGGGACAGAAAGGTTTAGACGCCAAGCGGCGAGGGGGAGGCGGAGCCGACATTGTGTGCAGCTCCTCTTTCTCTACCTGGACCTCTTGGAAGCAACGTCCCCTGGCGAAGTCCTCAGCAGAAATGACGCCCATCACCTCCACCTCCTTTCCTCCAATCATAAGGGTCTCTCCCTCCGACAGGGAGGCCAACACAGACACCTTGTAGCCACTTCCTGCACACACACACATGCAGAAACATACCCACTGAACAAATGACTGCATATACTGGAACAATGATCCAGAACTGCTATACTATACTGCTAAGTCATAAGAGCTCACTTTTGAAGGTTGAGCTTAAAGAACAACTTGACTCCAGCTGAGACTCTCTTGAATTTCTGACCTTGCTGCAGGGGTAAACAAGTGTACTCAAAGTGTAGTCACTTAACCCGAACATAACTGTTGGGTGTGTGAAGCTTGCTTAGATTTGACATAGCAAGAGCATACCATTGATTTGCAGATGATATCCTCAACTTCACTTTTCATTCAAACCTAGTGAGGCTTTTAGATCATCAAGGCTCTTAGACTGTCTCAAAGCTATTAGGCAGAGATTAGTGAACTAGAGATGCTTATAAATGCCTTTATCGCATCTTGCATCAACTTCTGTAACGCACTTCTCTCCTCACTTAGTACGCCTGCTCTTACTCGTCTGCAGGCAATCCAGAATGCTGCTGAATGACTACTCGCTAGATCATAGAGACGTTCTCACATTACCCCTATCACACTTAGATCTCTTCACTGGCTCCCAATTTAAAATTCCCACTCTTACTTAAAGAGCTTTGCACGGTCAGGCTCCTGCACGTGGCTGAACTGCTGCACCCTTACTCGTCAGCTCACTCCCTTAGGTCAAATGTGCTAAATTTGCTGTCTGTCCCACTTGCCTGCACGACTCGTGGTGATCGAACTTTAGAGGCTGTAACACCCAAATGGGGGAATATGGAATATTCTGTCAGCATCCTCAGTCTGCAGATTCTTTCAAAAAGCAGCAAAATACATATCTGGTTAAGAGTAACCTGTATGCACCAGGTCTACATTTAATGTATTTAGTATGAATTTTGTAACGCACTTTGTGACTTATGTCTGTGAAAAGTGCTTTATAAATATATTTTACTTATTTACTTTCCAACCAGAAGACTTGGTATTATATTACAATTTAAAGCTTTTCCCAACAGACTAAAACGTGACAACAAGATGAAGTTGAAAAAAAACATGTCAATAAGTAAAATACTACATGTAACTTGGGCCGTCTCGGTCTCACCCTTGCCAATGTCCTTGCCCTCCATATCTTTCAGTGTGGCTGTGCGGCCTCTTGTAACCAGGACTGCATCGCCCTCCCAGCGCTTGTGTTTCTTCTTACTGGCCTTACACCACATCACACTGAAGTAACGCGCTCCGTCCTGCCTGCAGCCAGAGTCTGAGCCTGAAGCTCCGGAGACAAAGGCCGACCCCACTGAAGGCGGAAGAGTTTGAGGAGACCCTGGAGTCAACTGAAGAGAACCGTTCACTCCTGTAACACAAAGACAGATATCACAGTGAAAAACCAACAGAAATATCTTTTTGGCAACCCACCAGCAGAGGTCACTGTAGCACCAAGTCTACACATCAGACCTTCACACACTCCCACCTTCATACATTCACATGCCTACAAACTTGAGTACCATTTGTGTCCTGTTAGAATTAAAAGTGCTCTTGGTCATCGTGTGTTCATATGATATGTAAAGACAATCCAGTTCAGAGAAAAGCTCTTCCTTAGAGGCTGAAAGTATGAGAGTGGATGTCTGTTTGACATGTAATAAACACAAGACCAGCAGAATATCAACCTTACTTTTTTTATAGAAATAAGTGAACATATGAACAAACTGTAAAAGAAACTGACAACACTTGTTTACCAACATTACAATACAATCAATGTTGTAGTCACATACAGTACATTAAATAACAATAACATCACAAAATCAATTCCACATCTCCCTTCTTTTGATCACATTAATTCAACAACCAGAGAGAATTTCTCACTTCTGCATTATTATTAAGGCCTTCAACAGTTTAACTTGTGCTTCAATTCTGGGTATCTGAAACTGACTTTTCAGGTCTAAAAAAGTGGATCTCTGTTGGTTTGCAGTGCTGCTTTATTCATTTGTAACCTACAGAATTTTGAAAAAGCACCCATAATTTGGTCGCCTAAAAGGGCTACAAGGAAATGCAAGGAAGGCAGCCTCCAGTATATAATTACAGTAAATGCTGTTAGAATATTTACTCTAACAATACTGGACAATAAAGATCATTAACACTATGCTGAAATTTCTATAGACACATTGTTGTTGTTCATGGATCTAGGCAGGAAAAGCACCATCATGGTACACGTCATTCATCACTACATTCCCTTCCAAAACCTCGACTTTCACATTTATTTTACCTACTTTGGCCTGTCACAGTGTTTGTAATGTGAGCATTTACAAGTTGTGTTGCCACTTCTGTCAATAAGTGAGAGAATGATGAAACATTTTTAACACTGACAAGCATAAACACAGACTGATGGCAACACAAGTCAGCCTTATCCAGGCTTTCAGTGTCTTTACTAGGCACTATGTTTCCAAAAGAGATTCAAGTTCTGAAACAGCTCTCAAACATGAAATGGATGAGTGTGATTGCTACACACTTTAAACTCCTCAGAGCCTCTCCCTTTCTAACACTGGCCCCAGATGTGCATGTTCAAGCTTGTTATAGAGGAATTGGCAGTCCGTGTCTGAGTCGAGCAGCCCTTAGTTTCTCCACTTTTATCTTGGCTCTCAGAAGTTCCTCCTCCAGTTCTTGTTTCCTCTTCAGCCCCTCCCTCTTCTCCTCCAAGTACATGGCAACCTTCCTGTGATTGGCCAACACCAACTCGTGCTCCTCTTTGGCCAGATGCAGAGGGCGAAACCTCTCGGGCTCGTGGTGAGGGTAGATGTCGTTGGGGTAGAGGTCGTGGCGTAAGGGCAGTGGCGACGTGGAGAGGGGGATGTTAACGGAGGATGGGGTGGGAGACAGAGATGCTTCGTAATCATGGACGCTTCCCAAGTCCTGCTCCTCCCGCTCCTGGCCTTCGTCCAGCCCTGGCTCTGTGTGTACGGAGAGGATGGGGAGGTCTGGTGGTGGTTTAACATCCTCTTCAGGGTCCAGCTGGACCACCTCGTGGGGGATACTTGGGACAGCTGCTGAGTAATCCTGAAATCCAGCCAGAGAGGAGCTGCTGCCAGGATGTTCGATAGGAGAGTTGTGCTTGCTGTATATTAATCTAAAAATGGAAGAAGGGATAAAAATAAGTGAGACTAGAAAGCTTAAACAGCGTTTATTGAGTGTCTACATCTTGTTTATGTGAGATGTGTAGAGACCTCTGTTGGTGATAACGCACACCAAATAAATCAATCAGTTGGCTAATTAAAGTAAATGAGAGGATATGAGGTGATTCACAAAACTAAAAAACAACAAACCTATGCTGCCTCAGATATGCTACACTATGCACATATATATATATACATATACGCACATTATTATGCATAAATACTAATACAACAAATACACTAAACTATTCAGTGGTTTGTTGCCCTCTGCTTCTGATCCAGTGTTGATATATTCTGCCTCAGCCTTACTTTCCGTAGCACTGAGAACTTGAGCCAAGTTCAAAACATTATTTCACATTATTTTAGGGTCCAAATTGTGATTGGTACATGTCTTATCACTACATGATTCAGCTGAAACTAAACTAACTGATCAATCAATATCAAACATTAAATAGCGGCAGGACATACTGTATTTTACTGTTGAGCGCGACGACGTACAGAGAGTGAGTAATCTGATTGGGCTTTGAAACTATGAGTCCAGCCCCTCCTTTCCCTCCTCCTCTCACAGATGAATCAGTATCATACAGACTACATAGTATTTTGGAGCTGCTGATGCATGTCTGAACTTGGTAAACTCTTGTGTTATCCCTCCAGGTAGGTATGAAACTGTGTGTCTGTGCCTGTGGGTGTATGTCACACTGTACCTGCGCAGTGCCTGGTCCTTTTCGTGGATCGGCACATGGTGAAACAGGTGAGGGATCATCTCCATAATTCTCCTGGTTGGCTCGGAGATGCTCGCTCTGTACTCTGGCTGGGCGTGTCTCCGCTGCATCACTTCCTGCTTGGCTGACTCCTTCAGCCTCTTGTAGAGGGTCCTGAGGCCCTGAGCGGTGCGATGGGGTCTGTCCCCTCCCAAGGCGTTGTACTGCTCAGCCACAGTGTCCCAGCACTTGTTTTTGTCCACGATGACCGCATGCTTGTTGGTGTGCTCCTCCAGGATGCGGATGTGAGGACGCACCAGCTTCAACAGGTCCAGCTTCTCAGAGAGGGTGAAGTTGGAGGAGCGAGCTTTACCCACCATACTGGACAGAAACACGGAGCTGGACGCCATCTTATAGCATAGCGGACTCACACAGACCAAGTCAGGCCTATGGCTGTCACCCCTCAGTAAACACACTTGATACTAAGGCTCCTCACTCTTCCCACCTGTCTTTTTTTTTTTTTGTCCCTGCTGCTGGCTTCTCTTGATCCACGGTGATAAAGCTAACACTGGTCTAACTCCCACACATATCTCATTTTCCTTCACTTCTTCTTCTTAAAATCAAACATAAGCTATGTCTAACATGTGCATGGATTCATACACTACTCCTTGGTTCCCTCTCAGCTACGTTGCACAACAAAAACAGGCTGTGCTGCACACAATAAGAATCAGGCTTAACTAGGCCAGCCTCGTTTAGGCCCCCGCCTACCGCGGAGGGCTTTGGATGAATTCCTCCCAGCTTAGGCTGACGTAGCTAAGCCGCTTAAGCCCAGCCCGACCTACTTACAGCTCGGTCTCTCTAAACCCCAAACCAAGCACAGCACAGAGCACAGCACAGCCACTCTGCCTCTGTAACACAGGGACAGACATCAGAGGGTCTGTGGTCTGCACAAATGAGGGAAACAGTCTAATAACACCGTATTACAGGTTATTAGGGGTCAGGAGAATATTTTTCCAAAACTGAGTGCCGCTTTGAAATAGCGCTGGCTTAACTAACTGAGTGGGGGGAGGGATCTGTGAGCGCGCTGCGCATGCCCGCAGGAGCGAAGCGTTTATACCCATTTCAATGCCGCTTTACGCTGAATGCAAAACAATAAATCTCAACTGTGCATCGGGAAGAACTGATTCGTTTGATTAAAACACGTGTTTCGGGCCGTGTGTGGGAACCGTGCCGAGCCACAGGCAGAGAGGGTGTGAGACGCGCGTTTTCAGGGTGGAAAACAGAGGCACTAGTTGCTCTTGCAGGAGGAGGGAGCGGTGGCTCACTGATCCCGAGCACAGTCCTAATCTGCCCGCCGCTGCCGCTGCACTACCCCGCTCATTTGCATAATGCTAGACCTGCTGTCACTCAGCCTCAGCCCGCCTGGTTTAACATCCACCTCCTCTGTGTGTGTGTGTGTGATATTATTAGCCACAGAGGGACAGTCAGGCACTGTGAAATGAGAAAGCATTGTGGCTCTGCATCACTCTCAGCGGCATCGCACGGTTGTTTATACAGAAACAGGTAAAAACAAAAACAAAAAAGTGCAATTCAAATGGCACAAACCGCACACTGGATGTATTCAAATGTAGTGAGAGCAGCATCGACCCGTGTTGTTGCTACAGTTAATGTTAAATAATGACTTCCAGTGTGTATGTGGAGAGAAGGCAGGTGTTTTGTGTTTAAGCTGTTTAAGTTGAGTTAAAGCAGACTACCTCCTGCTTCTAAAATTAAAAGGCAATTGAATTCTGGCTTCATGTTTGAGAAAAAATTATTTTGCAACTGAATATTTGTTAGTTGTGCCGAGAGGAATTAAATATCTCTGATAGGTAAACAGTTTCAGGTGTTTTGGCATCTGAACAGGAGGTAATTGAGCTAAAGATGTTTCCTTAATCTCTCCCAGATCTTTTTCTATATCATCGTCCATCAGAGAACATTGTCTTTTTAATGTACAGGCTTAATTGGTTGATGTTTCCAGTCCGCTTGCATTTAATTGAGCACTAATTAAGTCTCTCTTTAAAGTCTCAGAGCTTGCCAGTTCATATTTTCCTGAAAACGTGGACACTTAGTAGTCGTCATGGGAGTGAAATGAGAATTTTCAAGTAGTTATTATTTTACTTACATATACTAGTCCTTACATTGTGAACACACAGTGATCATTCCAGCTTCTGGAAGACTTTCTGACTATGTGGTATTAATGTGAGCTATAAATATGAATTCCCCTCACTCTCACACACGGTACTTCATACAAGTATGCCCATTACAATAGCAGCATTACCACAGCAGGTATTAGACATTGTAGCACATAAATGAATGAGTGTGATAAGTAATTATCAAGTCATGGATCATTTTTTATGTGTGTGTGTGTATATATAATATGGAAACATATATAAACAGACACACATATATACAGATACATATATGTATATAATTGTCTTTCCTGATTTGCCTGTATTTGCCTGAAAGAGACTTATGTTGGGTTTAAATGTCGCTAAATTTAACTGATATTTTTGTATCCAGCCCCTTTGTGTCTTACCTGCTGGTCTGTTGTCCTCTGTGTATTCCTCCGTGAGAGTGTCAGCATGTTCTGTCTCAGTCTCATTTTCTTTACTCTCCGTTGCACTCAGAACACGAGCCAGAGCCCTCGACCAGGCTGGAGCCGGCTCGGCAGCTTTGGACGGGACTTCATACTCTGTTTTACTCAGAACTGGTGCTGCTAGACTTCTGTGGACCTGCAGGACAAGAGGAAGAGAAACATTTGAAACAACGCTGGATGATGGG